ATATATATATATATCCTAACTATACTTCCCGGCGTATAATGGATTAAGTATACTTTAAAATCGAAGTAACGTAAAGAAGGTACACGATCGACTATACTACCTCGGGAAAACGGTGGGCGGTCTGTTTGTGGGACGGCCGCTAATGATGGACAGCAACGACCAGCATCGCCAGAAAAAAACGAAGATTTCATTTCTTCTTCTTCTTTTTCTTTCTCTATCTCGCTCGCTGTCTCTCACTCACTTTCGTACGATCTTTCGCGCGATCACCCCTTCTCGCTCTCTCTCTCTCTCTCTCTCTCTCTCTCTCTCTCTCTCTCTCTCTCTCTCTCTCTCTTTGTTTCTCTCTGTCTCGCAATCTCACCGAAACATTTGGTTCTCTCTCCCCACTTAATTACGTATTTACACAGGCTACTTCGGACGTACGCGGCATTTTCACGACCTTCGAGGGATTCGTAACGGTGGCGCGCTCGAGACTAAAGAGCAAGATGGCGCGCTAGCGAATAAGAAGGTCTCGAAAGGGACAATATGAAAACTGGGAGGGGGAATTGTATTTTCTTTTGTTGGTTCGACCGCTGAAAGTATTCACGGTTATAATTGGTGAGGATCGAGGGAGCAATAGAGGACAGTTTTTGCCCTTGCAAAGGGGAAACAATGAAATGTGGATGATATGATCGAGAAATAACTGTATCTCTCTCGTTCTGATACGGAAACATGGGACACACGATCCTCGAAGGTCGAAAATAACCGGGACGCCCGGCCGATCAACGTGAAACCCATCGAATGAGTCGTAGATCCTTAAACAAAATCAACATGGCCGCCGTAAACGTATAAACTAATAAAATGTAAAAAAAACAACGTTCTCGATTATCTAAGTAACAAACGATAGTTTCATATCTCTTCCCCCGCCTTTTTTTCCATTCAAAGTGGCCTTTTTCTTTTTTGTTCGTTTCGTATTACAATTTTTTTTTTTTTTTTGCGTTTTTGCTTTCTTACACACGCCTCTCTATGCAGATCGATGCAAAGGAAGTCTATCGATCCTTTTCTTTACGTTTTTCCCCACCCTTCATTCCTGCGTCTAAATACGCGCGTTTCCACGACGTTTATTTTCATTTATTTTTTTTTCTGTTCGCCTGTCGCGCGATCCTTTTCTTCTGTCAAACGTAACTCGATCATCGGGGGTTGTATAACGGCGAGGGACGATTTCCAAAAATGATTCTCCCGATGCGTTTTCACGGGATTTTCATTGTTACTTTCTGAACGACATCTGGGAATCGTCGACGAACTTTGTGGGAACGACTTCAACGCGGACGAGGACGCATCGACGGAATCCGCGTTCCCGTTTTTTTTTTTTGTTTTTCTCGAATTTAAGACCTAAACACACCTGCCGAATTCTCTAAAGCTAAACCACGGGACAACGACGAGACGATTACACTTTTTCCTTTCCTCCCGATTCGAGGGACACCTACTTAAACCTCCGAGGGGGAAAACACGATTATATAATTTACAAACGCCTAAATCTACCGAAAACTCGTACAAAAATTTGTCTCGCATTTTTTTTTGTTTTATTTAAAAACCGGACTAAACTGAACGATAGATATACACAAGGAAATATAAATTCACGCTTACGTAGAGAAAGAAAAAACACTCCTAAATCAATTTCGACCTAAACTTATAAGCTTCCGCTTTACACAGACACAGTAGTCCTGGGGGGTTGTTTCCACCTTACCGATAATACTGACGATAATATCCTCGGGCCGAACGTCTCGCCAGGAGATCGAGAGCCACGGGCGAAATCGGCCGCGCAAGCAGCTAAGATACGTCCTCGTGTACGATGGAACGCGTCGTCGATTTCCAGCCTGGATCACTCGTCGAGAGATCCTCGTCCACGTCGCTCAAACACAAACCATTACAAATCGTCCCTCGCCTATAGAATTAACGCAGACAAACCCTACCTTCAACGTCGAATTAAAAAAAAAAAAAAAAGCAAAAAAAAAAAAAAAAAAAAAAAAAAAAAAAAAAAAAATAAAAAGAACGAAAAAGCTCTTAAACATTATCGCTGATACGGGGATGTGTGTTTCGCCAGGAATAACGCGACGCTTCCCCGCGTTTTCCCCATTCCGCAAACCCCCCGGTGCAAAATTGAACTTCGATCGAGGGATCGAACACCGCGTCGCGACAAACAAACGAAACACAACCATATATTTTCTTCGCAATGATAAACGGTAAACGGAAAAAAGATAATAATTATCCGGGAGTACGACGGAAAGAGTCCTATTGAAAAGATCGATATATTTCACCGGAATGTTTTTAGTCGTACGCAAAAAGAAAATGTAA